AGAATAATTCTACAACATCATATTTACTTATTATTTTGTAAAAAAAATAGATTGTAAATTTTTTGTTACAAAAAAATGTCTGTCCTAGCGACTTCGATCTCACAGGCCTACCCTAGATTTCGGTACTTTTGAATAAATGTAAATAGAAATAATAATAATTATTATTATTATTATTAGTAGTAGTAGTAGTAGTATTATTATAATTATTATTATACTTATTATTATTATCATTATTATTATTATAAATACACTGTAGATAACTGCGGCTACATGCATAAAAAGTACCAAGAAACTCAAAATTATAATTTACTTTTAGTTTACGAGATAAAACATTCCCCAATGTTAACAGTAATTGTAGCACGCGTCTTGAAAATTCAAGTCTCCCTCTCATTTCGCCTCTCTTCCTGAAGCGTTGCCGTGGGAGACGCCAGATCTGTGCCGGATCTGCGGTCGCTTTCGATGACATACGAGGGTCTGTGTTATTGTCTTCCGCTAAAGGAGTTAGGAGAGGTGTCTCAGCAGGAGCAGATCCAGCCGATTATTTTTCGGGAGGTGGGGGTATATTTTTATAAATAATAAATTATTTGTTATTATATTGTATATTATTTAGAGATTCACCAGATGAACCCTTTAAAGCAGGTAAACGTCGTTTTGAGATCAAAAATCGAGTTGTAGGATAAAAGAGTTCGTGCGTATACTCCGCTCATTCTTTCCGGTATTTGAACCCGGAAGATCTTAGAGCAAGGTGGAATGTTAACAGAAGACCTTAGAAGTAAAATATATCTAAAATACGATGTGAGGAGATGAACTAATTTTGTAAATATCACCATTATTCCATTTTTTTTTAAAAAAAAAGAACAGTTCCAAATCGGAATCGATATTTTGAGTATTGTCTCAACCAATTTGAAGATCGTATTCGAAGGAAGACGGAAAAAAAGAAAAAGATAGTTATGAACTGCTATTACAGACCATTTACCTCCCTAGATTAGTATCTGTGGAAAAATAGATTGAGATGCAAAGTGACGAAAGCATAAACCGACTGTCTGGCTTGCGTATCCCGCAAGTCCCGCCTCCTCGCCAGGGCTGGCCGCACGCCGCCTGGCCTGGTCGTGCCCCCGCGCCGACAGAGGGCCCACAACAATCGGGTGGGAGACGCAACGGCGAAGAAGGGGAAGGGGGTGCGAGGTGTTTTCGTAAATTTCACTTTACGACGCTCCTATTCGTCCGATCTGCATGATTGTCACGGCGTTGGATTCAGGAAGCATGTCGCCATCGTGCTATAAGCCCACATTTTAAAAAAAGTTTTCTCGGAAGTTTGAGAACTAATTTCAAATTTGAGTTTTTGCTAGATTTTTGGAAAAAGGGCTTCGTAGCGTAAATTCTATTTTAAAAAGGCGTCAAATGCCGTTTACAGATCGAAAATGCTTCCCGCATCGGTTATTGTCATAATGAAAGTTGTTGAAATTTTATTGAAGTTAGCATAAAGCCTGAATGTGAATGTTATTGCAATAAGGAAACAAATGATCACAAATAACGCGGCAAACTTGAAAAATGATATATTTGTGCTTTGATTACTTCTATTTTTACAGTTATACTGTAAACATACTAACAGCACACTATCCGAACATACTAAAGGCAATGGGGATATTATTATTATTCTAACCACTAATATAATTGAAATAAAGATAAACGAAAATACAATATAGAAATATCTGGTATCTGATACAAACAACAGGCCATTATCATGCACCTCTCATGTTACTGCCAAAAAATTTGGCGGTGTCTGCAAGTAAAGCTTCGAAGGTGCCAAGAGCTCTGAAAGTAAGGCTTCCCTAAAACCATAGTGTCGGCCACTCTATGTAGTATATTCTAGGTCGTTGTAGAAGATAGACCGAAGAAGATAGGCCTCGTTTCCTCCACTTGGCATGCGTCTAGGAGGGAAAATCGTTTTAAACTAGAGGTGCTACGTCAACACATACTTTCTCGCATGATCGAAAACAGTTACATAATATTAAAATACTGTAATTTCTGCCATATTAAAAACTTAGTTATAACTTGAAAATGAATTCAAACAAGCCACTCGTGCATATCTGCATTTATTATCGTTGTTAGGAAGAAGTCATTTCTTACTTTTAGAAATAAAACGAACATGAATAAATTGAAATGTTACAGTTTTTACAGAACAGCAAGAATAATTTCACACAAGCAGTTACATTTAAAGTGAGCTTTCGTTTGTTTGTTGTTTTTTTTAGCCGTTTTTTAGTTATTAAAACTTCTAAAAGTGTGAAAGTGTGTTTGTTACTTCTAAGTTGAAATTTATTACCTTCCTTTAATCCATTTCCTTTCATAAAAATTATATGTTCATCACACAAGCATGACAGACAACAATGGGATGAATTTCAAGAATACATATTATTGCCTAAATATAATTCATATTATGAGCTAACATGTAAAATAAAATTAAAGAAAATTATAGTATTTTGTGAAAATTTCAAGAATACATATTATTGCCTAAATATAATTCATATTATGAGCTAACATGTGAAATAAAATTTAAAAAAATTATAGTATTTTGTTAAAATTTGAAGCAAACATTAAAAATAATTATCATAAACACCATGGTTTATATAATATTGGTATTTTCCTCTTTCACAAGGATTGGATGTAAAGAAAGCCCGGACAACACCGGGGATTTCGCTAGTGTAAATTTAAATGTTATGGCCAACGTCTGCTCTCCATTTCCATTGGCTGATCATCTTTCAACTCTATTGGCTGCTTAGGGGTGATAATGGATGTTTCTGCCAGAGTAGGGGATGTTGGTTTCCCTTCCATGAAAATAGGGCTTCTCCAAAGACAACTGTGATATTGTGTGAGTGCTGTGTCTCTCGTTTAACCACGTTTAACATGAAGTGTCATCTCTCTTTAATAAGACTCTCTGGGTGGGAGAAGCAGTGAGTGGGAAGTAAAAGGAAGAGCGAAAGAACACTTAGGGGCAAACAACCGTAACGATACTGTGATTGGATTGAATTTCTTGTCTACATTAGGATAAAATTTTGTTAGAAAACTGTGAAACTATAAAATTTGATGCGTAATTAGGACCCATAGCACATACTCTCGAACTAATAATAAAGCAAATTGTGCACCCGGCTTGTTTGACATGTACTGCAAGTGTGAATCGGCATCTCTGATTTTGCCAGCGTTTCTTGACACGTGTGTGGTTGTGTGATTGATTTGTACGTAACTACATAAATTGGAACTGAAAGAAATGGCTGAATGCCGAGAAGATATGGATGTCCCTGGTATTGAAGTAAGAGTGATTGGAGAGCCCAAGGTAACCTACCGAATGAGCGCAATATGCTGTCAACGAATTTCATCAGCTGTTAAGTACAATGAATGGTGTGCTGTATTTTTTAAAAATATTTTTTAGGGAAAAGGGTTATTTGCTGTAAAACCTTTCAAGGCTGGAGATGTTATATTTGAAGAAAGGCCATTGGTCTGCTGCCAGTTCGCATGGAATGCAGATTACGGATATGCATCTTGTGACTTTTGCATGAGGTAAAAGGGAAATATAACTTAAATGTTCTTGAATTACTATCAAGTCTTTTATTGAAACTTATTTGAAAAGAATTCATGCATTTTTTTTTCCGCTGAAATTTGTAGGTCAGCCTACTATTCCTTTACAGACATTGGAGAAATTTTCTTTACCCGTTTTTAATTTTATTTATTACTTGTAATGATTTGTGTTTAGGTTTAGTAATACGTACTCAGCTCAACTTTGTTTCGGTGTGTTGTGATGGAATGTTAAAAATGAGAGACTTTTAAAGAATTTTGTTTTCATTATTTAGCATGATTAAACATTAAATTATTTTTTGGGAAGCCAGTACTATTAAAATAAAATTATTTTTAACTGACTGCATCTATCTTAAAACCATAATTTGACATTAAGCATTGTTTGTAGACTAAGAACACTTCAACATGGTGGTTAAAAGATTGTCAACGTGACAGGGTCCACTGGTCTGCAATATCTCTTCCTTTTTTTTCTCTGACACTTGTTTTGCCATTATTCTGTGATGCTTGCTCATTCGTGGAATGTTCTCATTGTAGATTGCAATTTACTTACCAAAGATTATTTTGTTATTCAAGGCCTCTTGAAGGTGCTGAGGAAAATGCACATCGTTTGTCAGGCAAAAAAGATCTTATTCTGCCGTATCCACAGTGTTGTCCCACAAGGAAAGAGAATCATTGTGAATGTGCGTTGTGTGGGGTAAGTTTTTAATCTTGAACAGTAAATGAAAATAATCATTCCCTTGAGCTCATTATTCAGTATTAAAAAAATTAATGGAAAAATATTATATTTAAGTTTGAGAACTATTGATTGTTGTCTTTAAATGTTAAAATGAACCTAAAATTTATATTACCTGGTTTGTGGATTGAACTGAAGTTGTTTTCAGGTCAGATATTGTTGTGTTCAATGTAAAGATGAAGCCTGGGCCCAATATCATCAGGTGTTGTGTTTACGGAAGCGGGAACGAGATGGTTCTCACAAGTTGGAAATGTTGGTTGATGTGTGGAAGTATGTATGCCCATTTTAAGTGATGTTTTAAGGTTATAGTAATGTGTTACACATCTATAGTAATATGATAAAAAATTAATACAGTTAATTACTTCATCATGAGTGCAATGGGTTGGTATTATTGTGATGTGAGGTTAAAAAGGTTAGGAAATGCAAGTCTACTGCATAAAAAGTGACACATGAATTCCTTTTCTTGCAAGGAAAAACACTGCCCTAAACTTGGCATTGGGCATCCATTGCATGTTCAAACTTGAGATTTATATAGAAATTTGTTTAACTTATATTTTATTTGTAATAAAGAGATTTTATTTTGTGAACTTGTGTTAATTTAAATTTTTGTTCACTAAGTTTTAAAAATGGATCAAGTTTTTGTACTTCATTTTTTACTAGGACAGATTTCAGGATTAAATATTGCAATTATGCCATTTGTCATAACACATCTTTGTTAATGATTTTTAAACTTCATTTCAGAGAGTAAAGTTAATTCTTGTGTGTGTTGTATTTGTGTTAATAACTTTTACAAAAGGAGTTGGTAAACAGAAGTTTGGCAAAAATCTACTGTTATAGAACAAGTAATGTTGTTTATTTGTAATGAAAACAAAATAACATGGTAAAATATAAGATAAATAAATATGAAATGTGATCTTGATGAACTAGATATAAGAAATTTATTCACTCTTGTTTAAAACACTAATTGAAGTGTATCATGTGATTTATGTTCAGTTATGAATATGCTTTCACATCTGAAGTACCTATCCATTTTTTTTTTTTTTTTTTTTTTTTTTTTTTTTTTTTTTTTTTTTTTTTTTGTTACATTTAATTTTAATAGAAAAAGTACATTATCAAACTAATTGATGTTGCAGAAATTTGCACTATCCTCCTGAAACTGCTTCAATTATGCTTTTGGCTCGTATTTTGGCCACAGTTCAGCAAGCCCAAGATAAAGATGGAGCTGTGCATTTGTTTATGCAGGTATTGAAATTGGAGTGAAATTATTTTTCAAAATTGTAATTTCATGCCTTATTGATTAAATATGCCCAAACATTTGTGCAGTTGTGCCATCAGACAGTAAATGAACAAGAAGAAATAGCCCATAAGCTTCTCGGTGAACAATTTGTTGGACAACTCTTTACCCTACGGAAAATAATGTCTGAAATTTTTACTGATCAATCAGTGCAGCACGTAAGTTGAATACAGTATACTTCTTGTACTTTTTCATGTTTGGTAATTATTGTTCTACTGTAGTGAGAGATTAAGAGCATCTTCACTTAATCAATTGTTTATCCTCTGCAATTGTGAAATATCAGCTAGAATTATTACTTGAATCTTGGACAAGTAAATCATATTTCTCTAAGATAATATCGTAGCAAATGCATGCCCAAATTTGAGGCAAAGTTTTAACAAGAGGATACTTGATAACCATGTTCAAACCAGGACATTGAACAAACCCATACTTGTGTAAGTCTTTAATCTATTAGAATATTTTCAGAGCAGAGGGTAACACATGATTAACTATCACATAACCAGTAGTGTGATGTGTAATACACAGCAATAGCAAAGCATTATAGGGTCCACTAGTTATGAATATAATATTCTGTGGTTATGAAATTTGTTTTGCTGCAAAGATACCTCATACCATCATAAAGAACTATTAACCCACTGCCTGAATGAAAAGGGAATGATAAATGAAATTGTATTGTTATCAAAATGAATATATGCCTACATAACAATGCACTCAACATTTTTGGAATCATTGTTTGTTTTTTCCTGCTGATTTGTCTTCCAGCGTCTTAACCCTTTGACAGCTCTAGACGAGTTTATATGCAAAATATTTCCGTACGTTATAGTCTCAGGAGAAGTTATGACATTGAGTCAGGTTGTCGCTGGGAACCTCTGAACAAGACGGTACGTGGTACTGTGATGATCCAAGAGTCTCTGGACGAGTTTGCTCATGCAGACATGCTTTCAGCTATCGCTAAGACTTACTGATTGCTGAGGTGTCTTGCACAGTGTCTATGTGCGAGTGAGCTCACCTTACAACGGGCCCTGCAGTGAGATGCATGACGCAAGACATGTGACTTACAGTCAGCCAGCCCATAGCAGTTAAAGGGTTAAGGTTTTAGAGCTGGCAGATGAATTACTGCTAATGGCAAAGTAAACTTTTTCCGCACGGTTCCATTAGTGAAAGTTGAAACTGTGGCTGACCCCCTTTTAGATTGTTCAGAAATAAATTCATAATATGTAGACACATTGAACACACACCTTTTTCAACTTCTTAGTGTCATCCCTTCGGAAACCATTAATTTTTAATGCAAGTTTGGACTTCAGATTTGAAAATCGATAGTAGTTGTGTATACTAGATTAACAATGAATTAGTTTTGCATAATTAATAGTTAACTTTAGCTGAATTAACAATCATTCTGATACTTCCTTCCCTCTTCAATATCCGACATTTCTTCCGAGTTTCCTTTTAACAAAACCGAAATCCCTGTCAATGGGTAAGAACAAGAGACTTCTCATTGGAAGCCTGTATACTACTTTTTTAAACTTCCCATATCTGTTGAAGACATGATGAAGGATACCATTGTGTGGTTCTTATTTTAATCACAATTATCACAGTAAAGGTACACTTCATCAATTGTGGAGAGAACATTTTCCTGAATATACTTCAGCAAAAACTTCATCGCTTATCCACCAGTCATTTTATTAAGTTTAACTATGAGGAGGGGGTTCTAAGAATATGCCACCAAGCACCTCTCAAATCACTTTTTCAAAGCGTGGGAAATTCAAATTTACCATTTTGAGTTTTTTTTAATTTCCAATTTCCAAAAATGTAGAAAGTGTGCCAAAAATGGGATCAGCTTTCTTTAATGTTCTTTGTTACATACATGGGAGAAAAAAAGGAAAAGAAAGAAAGAAAAAGAGAGAAAACTGGAGCCGTTTGTGAGAAATGTTTGAAATTAAAAAATTGCCTGTTTTATGCCAAAAACACTCGTATTCCTGAAAAATTGGACATGACGTTGAAGATGTTTTTGAGAACATCTTCATTAAGGGAAAAAAATCTTCATGATTGTGGATCTAAAGAGACACTGAAATAAGTTTGATTTAAAGATTTTTACAGATTTAAAAAACATGAGACCAGCACCATTCGTTAAGTGCCCTTGATTCTATTCAAGATCAAAATTTAATGTAAAAAATTTGGAGTTGTTTTTAGAAAATTGTTTTAAAAAAATGCCTATATTTCACACAATTTATGTGAAAACTAATCATTTTTAATAAATTTGTGCATGTGCAACCTTCAATATTTAGTTGTAGGAAGAGAAAAAAAATTGAACTTTGAAATCTCACCCTCCCATCCATAATATTTACATTACTGGTATTTTCTGTGCATTATTGCATTAGTGAACACAAGTGCTTCAAATGATTTCTTGTTGGTTTTTCGAGAATGAGGTTTTTCGAAAACTCCAAACTTCTCTGTGAAAACAAGCTCAATATTATGCATGTTCGGAATTGCTTAAACAACATATTCTTGAGAATGGCTACAAATTTTGAATGAAAATTTTCCTTCAGGAATTTGTTTTACCCTTGAAATATTTTTAAATACATATTTCAATTGTAGGGATCCAAAAAATTGAGAAAATATGAAGAAAAAAAATAGTTTGGCGGCAATAGGTAGCTTCTGGGATGAGGGTGGAGCAATACCAAAAATCTAACCTAGACTGAGGAGATTAGAATACTTACTAGTGGGGGAAAGTCTTTGCCATTCTGTAGCACTAATTTATAGCTTGTTTGTCATATTTTGGTATGACATTTTATCACTTACTACATATTCTTTCCTTTTTAACATATTTACATGTCAACTTGAAATATCTCAGATACGAGATTGCCAAATAAATATTACTAGAATCGCCTTTTTCTGGGGGGAGCAAAGTAATTCTTGGTTGACCTGCAGACCTCTTCCATGAATTATTGTCAAATGTATCCCTGCTTCTCTGAATCGAGGATAAATGGATACTTGCTCAGTCCACAAAATACCTTTGTGTTTGGCTTGCAGTTTCAATGGGTAACTTAATGGAAATTGGTCAACATTTCTTACTGACCATTTCCTTATTGCACTTCCTGCACCCTACCGAGAAATAGATACCTCTTGTCAGGGTCACAGAACTCAAAACCTATCCATGAAAACCAGCCCCCTTGGACTTCATTAAAATACATTTTTAAAGTGTTGCAAACAAAATGTGACACTAGTTTTCTAGTGTGTCAATGATCTTTTGTGTTCAAAAATTTGAAAATGATGGTATGGGCCATATGAATTTTTATTTTACTTATTTTCAATTCTTTCTTTCAAACTTGTGAAAACAATAAATTCATATTTTGCGATTTTTAATACAAGAAATTCCTTTCTCTATTCATCAGTAATACAAAATTCTGACTACAAATTTTTTCGTAAGAAAAGTGGAACAAACATGAGTTTATCAAATACCTGGATTCTCGTTGACATTCCTTTCATTATTTTAATATCACTTGCATTTTTGACACTTCAATGTGTCCAAGAAAAAATTTACTGCAGCTTTACAAAATGGTATTATCTCAGAATTGGGAAAGTTGGACATTCATTATCATTCTTGTCTTGTGTTTATTTTGCATTTTTAAATTTTGATCCTGTGCTGATTCATGGATTACTTGAAACTTTTAAGTGTGTGAGAGAGCAATCCATTAAATATTACTGGAACTACTTCTATATTCAAAATGAAAACAGTTCACTTTTCTTGTTTGTTTTGTATTTCAACCAAACCTGAATTTATATGATAAAGAATTTGATATGTGGAATCACGTCAATGTATTTTATTTATTATATTAACTTATGTTTTAGTGGTTAACTCCAGAAGGTTTTCAGTCTTTGGTAGCTCTAGTTGGGACAAACGGTCAGGGAGTAGGAACAAGTCCTTTAAGTGAATGGGTGAAGAATGTTTCTGCATTAAAACTCCCTCAACAAGACAAAGAAAACCTTGATAGATTTATAGATAAGCTTTATGATGATGTTGAAGAAGGTAATTTTTCTCTATTCCTTTAATTTTTGGATTGAAATATTAGGTAGAATTTTTTTAAATTTTTTATATTAAAATTTCTTTTTCAGTCATGGGTTCTTTCCTAAACAACGAGGGATCAGCTTTGTATGCACTGCAGAGTGCCTGCAATCATAGTTGTGAACCGAACGCTGCTCCTAATTTCCCATATAGCAATTTTCAACTTGTTATGTGTGCAGTCCGTGACATAGCAGCTGGGGAAGAAATTTGTGTGAGTTATTTAGATGACTGTGCATTGGGAAGGAGTAGACATTCAAGACACAAAATTTTAAGGTAACAATACATTTTTATTTTCTTCTATTGAGATATGAGATATCATCTGATCATATGTCAGCTTATTTGTAGAAAACGTCTGTGCTCTCCTCAGAACTGTTGGTCAGACTTGCACTGCTCTTGAATTTGTTTTCACAATCTGGATCCTTTCTGACTTATTTTACGAGTGCCTAAGTGCTACAAATAAAATTCGTGTACAAATATTACAAAGAATGTGTGGAGCTGGAGTGCAGTTCTTTTTAAAAAAAGAAGTACATTTTTCTAGATCATCTATATTAATAAAATCTCTAAATTATGTTCCCCACTATTAAAAAGATGGACGTATGAGCTTATTTTTTGCTTATGTGTATATTTTAAAAACTAGAGTTGCTACAACATTGCAAGATTTCCTTGTGTTTGTGACGATTATGTTCTTTTAATTATATGACAACTTAAACTTGTATTTTTTTAGCGATGTCATGTAAAACTCCCACTGTACCGCTACAGAAAAAAAAAGGATTTTGAAGGAAATTCATTTATGAATTATGTAGTTAAGGTGGAATGTAATTTAGGTATCACAATTTCAAAGGATTGAATATCATGTTGATAAGTACATTGTTTTGGCTACTCAAACATAAAATGATCCATTAAATTATGATGTTCCATTAAATTGAACCACAAACTTTGTAAATTGAACACAAACATACTGTTATGAAAGAAGGAAATCAAAAAGATTGTTTCTTTGTTTCAGTAAAATTTGTTGCCAGAGATTGCGCATAGCAGACCACTACAAACTGCTTTGGTCATGTTGAGTAGGTAGTCCTGCAAAGAATAAGCCAAGAGATTTGCATCCTTGGGAAATTGACAGTTCCCACATATGTTATCTAGATTTTTATGAATCGACTTTAAAACCAGATTTTTATAAATGGGGCATGTATTATAAAACATTGTTTAACATATTATTTGTTGACAGTATAAAGAATCTCAGTTCAGTCACCATTGAGTTCATAAATACAAATTTTCCTTAAAATTTACTATCTTGTGACAAAATAATATAAAACAATATTTAGAGAATTTTCCCTCTGTAAAATGTAAATTTTATAGTATTATTTGATAGTGATGGTTTGTGCCCCGCCTCCCCCTCCCGAAAAGGGAATTGCAGCTCCATTCAATTATGAACATGTATCTTCGATCTTTGTGTATGTCTCTCTCTCTCCTCCTCCTCTTCTTCTTTCTTCTTTTTCTTCTTTTTTTTTTTTCCTTCAGATTTTACATTTTCAATATCCTTTTGAAAACTTGAAATGTACGGCTTTCAGCAGATTTTTTTCTATATGTGACCCGAAAGGAATTTAATTTTACACTGAAATCTTTGTCTAATCCTGGGAAAATAAATCCTGAATTAGAAGGTATTCTAACTTCATTAAGGAAAATCAGTCTGTCTCAAAGCAGCAGGAGCAAGGACAAACACACAATAACTTTAAAAAAAATCTTGTCACAAAAATAATTTGTGGTTCTAATTTACTGCCTCTCGATCAGGATCTTGTCTAGTTAACCTGATACATTGAGTAAATGCTGAGATGGCCCCTAATTTGCTTCTGGGCATAAATGTAGCTTCACTGTGTGCACATTTTGTTGAACTCTCCTTTTACTTGTAGTGGTAGGAGTTTAGGTAAGGGTGAGTTTCTATTTTGTTAGCAATGCAGAAAAATCAAACCTGCAGTTCGTTTACCGTTGCACGTAATTTTTCTATTACTAGGGAACAGAAGTGTCTAGTTTTTCAAATGTTGCTAATCTTGCACCTTTTTCAATTTTATTTTTATTTATGTATCTTCAACTTTTACTCATCCTTCAACTATTTATAGTTAAAATGATGAGAAGGGATTCTGGAACTCAAGAAAACGTGCCCAGATGATCTTCTCCCCCATTAGTCACATACAGTTTATACTGTTTTTTGACTAAATAAATCTAACCTAAATTATCTCACACTCGTATGCATAAGGACACAAAATAATTTCTTGGATAGACCTGTGAGAACTCCTAGCGATCACACCCAGATTTTCAATAAAAAAAATTCTTCCAAGCGTCAACGTTTCCACACATACAAGTTAAATTCACCATATACCTTGAATGGTGCATGCCGAGCACTCAAAAATTACCTGAATTTTCATGTCTTCGACATGCGCACTTCATGGCGATGAGGCCCCAGTGCTTGGCAATGTAAACATGTTGCACTTTCTATGTATCGTTGCGATACAAAAACGAAGACAGAAAATTGGTGTTCCCTCGATTCTCTCAAGCGAAGCCGGCGATGAGGACCCCAGAGCTCTTCGCTGACTGCCTCTGGTCATGGATCCTGGCGAACTGTGTTTTAGAAGTGAAAAAGCGACACTGGAAGCTGCCTTGCACACTTCTGGCAAACCAGTAGAGCTCCCAAAAGACTGTTTAAAGAGCGCAAAGTGCACATTTTCCGTGTAACTCCCAATGCAACCGTTTGTTGTGGTGTTAGTATGATGCCGGTGGCGTCATCTGCTTTTCCTCGTGCCATTGTGTGCGAACTTAGCATGTTTTTCTTCCTAAATTTGTTTTATTCAGATTTAGGGGTAATTTCCTATTCAGTTGTTGCACACTTCTGGGTTTTGTAGTCACTTTTGGTTCGACACCTTCATTTTTCCTTTTCATGTTAGAGATATTCACAAATAAGATGAGAAATGTGTTGTGTTGTAGCACCTCTTGTTTTAATTTGTGAGAATAAAGAAGCTGATAGAAGGTGAAAACATTTTGGATGAATGTGTTGTGTAATGTTTTCATTGTTTTGTTTTTTCAATTTTAGTTACGTACTTAACTTCTTTTTTCAGAGAAAATTATCTTTTTACCTGCCATTGTTCAAAATGTGAGTCCGAATCTAATGAAATAGATGTTACCAGCGAAGAAGAAGGAGATGACGGTAATGAGTCTGAGTCCGATGAGGAAATTGATGATTGATGATTTTTCTAAAACTTGAATCTTGGATGTGGTACAAGATATAAAAGAATTTTTCTGTGGTTGTGTATTCGATGTTCATCTGTACTCTTCATTCTTTGTATAACACAATTAAACATGATGGATTAAAAGGTTTGTGTATGTGATGTTTTGTTTTTTCTTTGTGAAAATTAATGTACTTCCGTTTTCTCAGAAATATTGTTCTTGCTCTTCGTATTTGTGGATGAGGCGAGTGTTGATTTTTTTCTGAAAAGTGACCAGCATGTGTAAGTAGCTTATTTACGAGTATATACCTTTGGTGCCACAATCAGCTGCTCTGCTGTGACGTCTCGTTATTTTAGGTGCTATGTTGATGTCCCGAGAGCTCCCGCGGTCCTGAACCAGACAGGATACTACGTCTGCAGGTAGGGAGAACATGGGTCTAGACACGTGGAAAAAGAAGGTAGAAGCGGAAAGCAGGGTAGACGGGACACGACTGTCGAGTGGAGCGGATCGCGGAGAGAAAGATCGCATTATGTACGCAGTGAGATTGTGCGATTCGGGACTTGTGATTAACTGAATTCGCAATGGGTTGGTCAAGCAGAGCAGTGAGCGACAGGTCACGTCCTCGTGCAATTTGATCTCCGACTTGAGTAGAGATCGCTTCGCCAATCGGGGCTCGGGACGCGCTGTGGCAAGAACAAGTGAGGAACGGACACGATAAAGTCGGCTCGCCAGGTGCTTGAGTCGTGATTAGGCACCCGCTTGTTCTAATATTGGTAGCCAGGCGTGTTGCATTACGCCACCATAAAGTGATTACCGTTATTCAGGAGACGAAGTACCGTGAATTATTTAAAACTTGCCTTCTCAATTAAAGACAGATCGATGAAGAGTGCAACAATGATTTTGGTGTGGCGTGGACCTGAAATCGACCGCGCACTGTTATCTGCCGACGGCGCCCAAGAATACGGTGATGTCTTTAGGTATTAAACCATGTAAAGGTAATAAGCAATTCTTGAAGCGACTTAGGGAAACAAAAGACTCCTCTTGGTCACTCCTAAATGAACAGGAAAATTTTATAACAATTTATGAACTGGCGTGGCCGCTCTTTGGCCCTTCAACTTCTTTATATTTTTCAACAGCGTAGTTATAAATTTATTTTATTATTAACCCAGATAATGAGCTCATAGAAGTTCATAATTTTTGTAACTTCCAGTAATTAGATTTTTTTAAATTAACAAGGCTCCATTTCATTCCCCTGAAAAAAGGTATCCGGCAGGACCTGAGCTAGCAGGCACACCAAACAAGCGTCATCACAAATAACTGCCTCAAGTATGGGGGCCAGATTAAAATTAAAATAACCAACTCGACGTCACAATATGTCGGAATAGTTTCCAATGGAACGTTCTCCCATTCTCGTGCCGAAATATCCGCCAATTGCCTCAACGATATTCGAACTGGAATTATGCCCCTCATTTCAGCTGTTTCCATCACACGCTCCAACGACTTCCCCTCTTTCGGAGTCAGCGAGATCAAATTTCACTGGTCACTTGTGTTCAGTGTCAAACAAACGCCTGTAATATACTGCAATATTACCTTCAAAACGTGGCACGTCAACTGTGCTGTGCAGCTGCATCGCGGAGTTTGTACATTCGCAGTGGCACCAACATGCAAAAAGATGAACGTACTGAAGTAGAATCCCGCAAATCCGAAATTTCGAACACAATTCGGGATGGAAAACAAAATTAACGAAAAACATCAAATATGTATTAATTTAATTTATGAGCGAAAAAGCTTGAACACGGTGTAAGTCAACCCAATACTAAATATTGTTCGCAGAACACCTGTCAACAACAGCGACACAACTGTGATTCTACCCTTCTAAACAAACAACCACTGCGATCATTTCTGCGCGTAGTGTACTCCATTGTTTGCAACATTGCCACATCATGTCGCAACTCAAACGTTGCCATTTTCTCACATCGCACGCTACGATGCAATCCTATAGATAACATATAGATGTATATGTACGGTATATTTTTCGGCTAATCCGAACGGACCACATCCCCAATTCGGAATACAGGGGTTCTACTGCGATTTTCGAATTATTTTGTCCAACATGTGTATATAAAATATACTTAGCGTGTTGAAATAGTTTACGAGACATGTACAGGTGAAAAATGTTCATTTCCGCACAATACCACTTGTATCACCCAACCTCTCAAATGTCCATGACTGCTATAGATCGCATTTGTTTTCTTCCTACACGAGCTCCTTAGACCTCAACAAGCGCTGAATAGGAAGGTCTGTTGAGATATTTAGGTTAGAGTCGAAACAACATGTACCTATTTACTTAACTGCTAACAACCAACTCGTACCTTCAAAATAATCGTAGTATTTCTCGTGGCACGCTTTGGTGCGTTAAGTTCATGCCGTACACCAACAGTTTGCACGCTCTTTTAGCTGTGACGTAGCCGGAGCCCTTCTCTCCCCGCTGTGTAATATCAAGAAAACGTGTGCGTGTAATAGTTATTCCAATAGTAATGCAAGTTTCTCATGAAAAAACAATTGGGTTTTGGGGTAAGCTATTAATGAGATCAGACCCACACTACTAGCTTTTAAAAATTTTAGAATCTGAGGAATGACACGAATATTTCCAAGATTTGAAATGGGAGGATATTCTTTGCAAAACAGAGTCCAATGGTGAGGTCATCCTGATGAAACAAATTACTCACCAACTATCTTTTATCAGCAGAAATTTCATAAATTACGATTTTTTCATTACCATAGAAGGCGGGAATTCTAGAATGAGTACTGAAAGAAACTCTTAAACGAAGACGCCCAGATATGCCAATATCCAATAATACATTGCGAGATAAAAAAAACTTAACGGTGGAAGGTTCGTTGTTTACTATAAGAATATGCAGCTTGTTACCAGGGTTAGCTTATAAAAATGTAGCAACAAGTTTCCTATATCGCAATTGCCAAACACAACTTCGTTATGTGAAATTTATTCATCAAACGCTTGAGTATCTGCGGCCACTAATTTTTGCCCCTTTACGCCTTTTTCAACGTCTGCTGCCGCCTCATTTTCCCGTGGGGCTCCCAAAGGCTGCAGGTCTCATGCCTACTTAACTAATAACTGATTAAATGGCAGTTAAGCTGTTCACGGAATTCCCTGCTGGGGGAAACAGCGGTCGGAGAGTATGAGGCTCTTGATAGAGGCTGGAAACGTCCACCCGGGTCCCAGCTTCTCGGCGGTACTCACGTCGTTAGCGTCAAAGCGGGTTCTATGTTCCTGATTACTCCGGGTGCCCGGTAACCGACCAGATGGGCCCCGCCGTCTTTTGGAGCGAGATTGGGGACAAGACTTGTTCCCACACACACACACATAAAGAAGTCTGACGAAGAAATTGAAGTCTCCCGGCAGGCCTCTCCCGATTTCGGCGCTACTCACGTCGATAGCTCGAAGACTGTTGCAGTGGGTAGACGGATGGATACCCCGAGCAGCCTGGACTTGTCCGTGTGACCTCCAGTTCAGCACTTACCTTCGCCAAGGCAAGCCCGACATTCTTGGGTTATTGAGTTGGAATTCGTTCCGGTGCTCTGTGAGCTCTGAGCTGGCAGAGCGGTGTAACCGAGGCTTTATTGGGGAGGTGTCCAGGTAGAGTGCTGTGTTCCGGCATTTCAGGATGCAGCCCGGTGTACTTGTACGAGTATGCCCGACTGGGGTGGGTGAGGATAAATGACCACAGAGCTTCAGGGTCTGTTTTGTATTTGGAGAGAGCGTTTGGAGAGAATAGTTGTAATTGTGGAGCTTAGACACGTACATCTATTGACAGAATAGTCTCATCTGGCAACGTAACTCAAGTAAAACAAAATACGAGCAACTGGAGCTCATTCACATTTCCTCCCCGTCAGACCGCACTTCGCTGCTGATCCACATGTCGTTTTCAAGGGCCAATCTCCATTGGCTCTAGGGAATGTCGTGAGTCCATTTGTACGACGGATGCCGATTGCTCTGTGCATACTACCTGGCATTGTTATTGTATGAGTGGATAGAGGGCTTTTGGGTTGTAACGCTCGAAAAGTACAATATACTGATTTTGTAAAAACATCAGTCCCTCTCCTTTTTAATCTAGGTCGCTAACGTGAAATTTCCGCAAGCCACATTGACTCGCTGCGCGCCGTGTACGCTCCTGGTTCTCGGGAATTTCTCCGACGGATGGTCGCAGCAAATCCCATCGAGTACGGACCGTGCGCCCGCGTAGTAATTCTGACGGTGTACGAGCCGTTGGAGAGTGCGGCGTCGTACGGTTAGCAAGGAGAAAATGCCCTCTCATTCCCAAGACCAAATGATTTCGTGCCCTTTTTGAACAAACGGACGAACCGCTCCACCTCCCCATGTGTTGCAGGGTGATACGCCGCATTGATCGCAGAATGAGCGAAGTTCTTGTGCTGTAAATTGAGGGCCGTTGTCTCGCACACAATCTGGTCAGGCTAACAGAATCGAGCGAGAATGGTGCGCAAAGCAGTGATCACTGTAGCGGCTGATGGGTAGACGTGTGAATGGAATAACCTCGGGCCATTTCGAGTGTGCATCGATTATCACTAGCCGCATTTGAACATTGGCCCTCAGAAAGTGAGGCGAAGGCGTTGCCAGGGCCGTTCCGGAAACGAACGCGGGCGCAAAGCCGCCTTGGCCGACGCTGCTTGTACTTGCGCGCAGGCCACGCGGCGCTTTGCCCCCTCCACTATAGAATCGATACCTGCCCACCAAACGTAGGAGCGGGGTACCGACTCCAGTCGGACGATTTCTGAATGATAGTCGTGTAAAGCTTTGAGAACTTGCGGCCGTAGAAACGTGGGAATAACTAGACGTAGTCCCCACAGTAAGCAATTTCCAGCCATCGTAAGTTCGAGTCGACGTATGTAGAATTGTTGTAAGGAAGGGTCCTTGCACTTCTCAGGAAGACAACCAGACTGCACTAACGGACAACTTCGCAAAGTATACGGGGGTCTTTCACTGTGACACTACTTTCTTCCATACGCGTGAGGCCCCTCTCTCACACAGAACGAAGTCACTCGCCTTTCACCAAGGAGATCCGCGTTCGATTTCCAGACAATGTCACGTGAAATTTGTTCCAACAAAACGAGCTCACAAAGGCTATTCCAACTCCTATGAAGTGTCCTAAACCCTACCCGTATCCCAATTCTGGCCGCTGGGTAGTGACGCAGGAGATTATAGTGGGAGGCGCGTGCTACTGGTCGTCTTATTGACAACTGACCGCGACGAGACGTAATGACTTATACAAGTAATGGAGGATTACTTCCTAGCGCACTGTAACGGAGAATTAGTCCCAATTAAGTAATTAAATTAGTCCCAATTAAAAAAATTGTAGTCCTTTTATTTTCAGAAGGCAAACAAGAATAGATTGTTGGCGGTAACGGATTCCGTGATAGGTAATCAACGTTCCTGTGATGTTTTGTCGGACGGCATTGTGAAGTGTAGTCGAGTCGCAGAAGTGGAGGCAATGCTACCAACAGTGGCTCGTGATCACTCGGCGATCGGCGGCGATGGTGTAACGGTTAGCGTATCGGACTGTTATACCCGAATTGGCGTATAAAATCCGATCGAAGCCATTTTTTAAGAGCGAAAGAATCCTTCGGACCTAAGTAAAGCCGGCTGTCCCATGATAGTAGATTTACTTACATGTAAAAGATGCCGCTGTCCCATGTTGGTAGATTTACTTGCATGTAAAAGATGAAGCCTAAATGACGCCTCTGAGCTAAATTCAAATCGCCTCTTTCGTCACCCAACAAATACCTCCTTTATTCGCTAGTGGGTGAAAATTACTTAGTGAAATTTGCGTGGTCAGACGGAAGAGCGGGCTTAATGGCCCGAGTCTCGCCACGTAAGATAAGGCACCAATTCAATTCCGTCACCAATATGAACTAAGTAACGATGCAATTTCTTCATTCCAACGATTATACTTGGATTTATTTGGAGCTGCCTCTGGCGTAATTGAGTTGGTACGGTGTCATCCAATCGGAAGGTCACCATAGAAATATTTAAGCTCCCAACTATTCAGGAACGCACCCTAATGTATTTTTTTTTTTT